TTTTCTTTTGGCTGGTTTTCAGGTTCAACACTGTACAGCATGGTGGCATGCTGACTCGGCCTAGAGCTTTCTTCTTGCTTGCACACAATGAAAGACCCAAATTGCCCATTCCTCGAATATTGTACTCCCTACGTCTTAATATAAATACAACCAAATCCAGATATAACGTACTGTTCAGATTCGTAATTCTAAAATATGTCACATCTATATTTGTTTGTTACACTTATATTGAAACGGGGGATTACCTTGAATAGCGGTCGGAACCACCGGGTAAATTGTCGGTTTCCCCCAATGATTTGTATTTTATGGGTACGTAAACGGAAGTGGAGATATGTGGAAATTTTTATCTAGCTAGACAGGTCCAGTGGTAGTTATAAATATTTTTTTTCAATTATAGAAGGCACGTAGGTACACACCACTACCCATAACCATAAAGTATGCCCCCTAACATGAGGTGTATTTGCTCAAGTTTTTTTACAACTCACGCTTAACTCGGTCTTGTCTCCATGCACAACTTATGCTGCGTTCTATACCCATGGTTCTCAACTTTACTCTCTCGTTTTCCACGCGCACACTTTTCAAACTGCTAAACGGTGCGTTTTTTGTAAAAAAAATTTTATAAGAAAGTTGCTAAAAAATCATATTAATCCATTTTTAGAAAAAAACAAATACTTAATTAATCACGCGCTAATCGCTGCTCCGTTTTCCATGCCATGGAGCGAGGGTTCACTCCCAAACACAGCCTTAGTACAAGTGTACAACATCAAAGTCACCATGCTGCGTACGATGCGATGGCAGGTGGTACTACGCTGCTCCATTGGACGTTTTAGTAGCTACGGGGACCAACGTGACAACCGCATGAAAGGCCAGGGAGCATATACAGTGTGCATGGACGTATTCTTCCCCGCACGGCCGGCGCAACAAACCACGTTTCCCGGATTCAGGTGCGGTACAGCCTGGGCTGAGAAAATGCAGGGCCCATCGTGCCCGTCTCGTCGCGCACGCGTATCCGCTTTCGGCTACTCCTCTGGTCATCTCATCCCGGCAGGGGCGGCGCATTGCATTTCTAGCTACTCGCTGTGTGGCTTCAGTGTGCAACGTCCGGGCCGTTGATATGGTTAGCTGCACCACAGCATCACTAGCGATGCCGTGGCACACAACGCCGTTTCCGGTGAAACACGTGGAGCGGTTGATCTCGACTAGCATTGAGTAGTACCGTTCGATGTTGTGCCAGAAAAATGCGGTCACATAATGTTCGGCTTACGTGGTGCATCAGAATTTTTGGACGTACAGCTAATGCAAACATGTATGCCACTCAAAAATATTTTTCTATATTTAGTTTACATTTATGTGTGGGATATTGGTATAAAAAATGTTCATTATATGATCTGGCAGACATAAAAGCTTACAGGTTTACAACAAAATTTATAGTGCTATGTGTGTTGTGAGCGTCCGTCCGTGTTTGTGATATGTTTCTGAAAAAAAATTCATTAATGTGGATAAAACTGATTCAAATGGACCATTATTAGTGGCGCAACGGAAAAGTTATTTTTTCTAATATATACAGTCTGGTCCTGGGTGTCACTTAGGTGGATTATCTTGTAAATTATATTCATAGTTTAGGTCCAAAGCATGCATGTTTGATTGGTCTTAAGCACCAATGTAACCAGGGCCGGCCCTGACGGGTGGCGAGCAGTGCAACCGCTCTGGGCCGCCCCCGATCGTAGGGCCCCCCACCCGCACCACATGGCCCCTGCGATGGCCAAACAGGAGGCAGCAGAGCCACAGTAGTAGCGTCGTAGCGATTTCTATGCCTAACAGTCAACGTTCCTAATTCCTACGCGTACGCAAGTCACGAGATTAACGCCGCCCGCCGCGCACGATCGCCAGTCGTTCATCCGATCATCCAGTCCTATCCGTTCCCCACCCATGCGTTGATCAATTCACCGGTATCGCATCGGCGCATCCGCGCGCCTGCCGCCTTGCCGAGTTGCCGTCGGCTGCCGCCACCAGCAGCGACCGCACGAGCCCATAGGCCATATCTGCAAGTCCGCAACTACTATTGCTGAACTGCTTTGAAGCCTGATGATCAAGAGGAGGTGAGCAGCGGGCTGCAAGGAGCAGCAACACCACCACATTGACATCGCTGTCTGGTTTATTGAATTTTCAATTTCTATTCCGTTGCCATCTGCACCTTGCGCGCTATGCTTGGTTTATGTCTCTGGTTAATTGTTTTGGTAGAGTCTAGAGATTTGGACTTGGAGTTGGACGAAGTTGCGGTAGTGTGTCTGTTGCCGACTCACTTTATGCGTGCACCTGGCCGTACATGATCAATAAATTGGTAAGATTTTAAATTTTGATTTATAACATAATTTATATGAGTTAAACCAGTAAACCACTATTAATAATATTTTTTTCAATTATCTCAAGCCATTTCATAGAGAAAAAAGTATTGGATGAAATTAATGTCAATATCATATACCAATGACTTCAGAATGGTGTATGAAGAAAAATTTGAAGGTAACATACATGATGTTTTTCATATATATTATTTCTAAATACAATTTAATTTTTTATCGATAAAACCCGTGTATATACCTATTTATTGATCATTATTTAGATGGTATATTAAGGGCCCCTATGTTTTGTTTCGCCCTAGGCCCATACAAACTCAGGACCGGCCCTGGATGTAGCTGGTCACGTTGGCCGAAACTTTGTGTCTGCTCACACTGTTTCCTGTGTGCACATCTAAACATCTATTGTGCTCCCCTCCTCCTATACCGCATTCCGCATGAACTCCGGCTATCCCGCATAGTCAATAGGGAGGGCGGCAATTAGGACACCACTGGCAATCATTAGCAAGCTGATGTGTTTTGGGCAACGATTTGGATGGCACACGATAGACGGTGTGGTGCAATGCCATCGTCTGTGTGAAGGCGGATGATGGACCTCAACTTTGATGTGGGTGGCACGTGATATGCACCTTTTTTTTTTGCCACAATGGGGGTGGCGCCTAATATGCAATTTTTTTTTTACCACGGTAGCTTTTGGAGGGTGCCGAATGCAAAATATTGTCCAGCGTGAACTACTATATCTGTGTCCAGGACCAACAAAAGGTGATTTGGATTTAGTTGCGATGCATTGAATCATAAGTACACATTTAAATATGTGACTTACAATATCATAGAGCTAAGTGACACTTCGATCAAAGTTTAAAAACCAGCCATGTATTTCCTTCTCTTTTCTTTTTCCTTTTTTCTTCGGTTCATTCTATTTGGGAGCACCTCACGTTAGACATTGGTGCATGATTTAAGACGATGCGTGTGTGGTGGCCAGCATTTTACCCGGAGAAAAAAAAATCTGCATATTGGCATATTTCTTGCCACTCGACGTCGTTGCTACAAGCTAGTCTACACACACAACATCAGCAACAGTTACGGAGTATGTAATTATGGAATCGCTTTCAAGTTCTCGTGCTCCTGCTCAAATAATCAATGCATGGTGCTACAGTCCATGCATATGCGTGCATCGAAATTTCTTCATCTCCCTATTTGCTGATGTTGAAATACTAGAAAAGACACATCGGTTGCTGTTGTACTGTCGTGTAACATGCCAACATTTGAACCACATACTCAGCAAACTAAACCTGCCCTCCCGGGAAACAAGTGGAAGCAAGGGTTTCTAGGCTTTGCTTAGCCCTAATTGATGCAGCAAACACGTTCTCACCGAACAATTGGTCGGTTTGGACCTGCTCTGGTCGCTGATTAAATTTGTTGGACCATTAATTCCTGACGTTTTTCACGCTCACCCTTTATGGGATTTACTAACCAACTGAAGCTTCGAATTTAGTATCGTTCGATCCTTTCCAAGATCCGTGCGTTGGTCTCGATTCACAGTACTCGTGCGTGTGCAACAAATATCTCTTGCTTAAAGTATGACCTAGCACATGGCAAAATCATAGATGAGGAACTACTCAACGGCTCAAAGTGCTACCATGCATCCTTATTTTCCACTACCACCTTTTCTATGTTTTACTCCCTCGGTCCCACAGATTTTAGCCATTGGTTGGTAGATTAGTGGTAAAGATAAAATATTAAATTTTTTATCATCGATAAAAAATAGTTTTTTGAAAGTTGTAGATAAGAGCTATTGAAGTATAAGATTTCATAATTTGTAATGAATTCAATGTAAACAATGGTTGTGAAAAATTCTAAGAAAAATAACAATGTATAATATAGTAACATCGATCATTCCAAAAAATGTAAGCTTAAATTCGACCTACATATTAATAAAACGAGACAAATTCGGGTATGTATGAATTGTCCATTCGCTGAATTTATATTTTTTATATCATAATGCATGAGTTAACATTGGAGGAATGGTATATACATAAGTTGTATGAGTGTAACAAAGCCATCGTTTCGCTTATTCGTGGAATAAGAGAAACGGCATATTTACAAACGAAAAGTAATTTGTGAATAAAACCTTTATATACGTGTTTTTAGTGATCTAAAAGAAAAGGCTAAAAAATAAACTTCGATGAAAAAAACTCAAAATCAGCTCCAAATTTAAGATTGAAAATTTAAATTTTGGTTGATAAGTATAAGCATAAGAAAAAGATGAGGCCGCAAATTTTATAAAGAATGTTTTGTAATTATTTAGATGGTTTTTAAATAAATAAGAGATATCTCTTATGTATTGTTTGGTTAATCCCATCCAAGAAAAAATTAAGAGAATTTATTTTACATCTATTATGATGCGAAATTATTTTCTTCTCAATCTTCTCCAAGTCTCGAGAGTTATTCATAAATTGTAGACGGAGATATAAATGAACTTCTTTTTAAACAATTTTGAGGTCTAGAAATGATTTTTTATGAGGAAATAGTATTAAAGCCAGACGGTTAAACCCAAATGACCGTGTTAATTTATTGTACGGTAGGTCATCGACCTGCCAAATGGTCATAGAGGCGTTTCCGCGTGTATATATATAGCAGGATGAAGAGGAAGAGGAAGAGGAAGGCAGAGAAGAGGAACGAGTCGTCTTCTCCAAGGCGTCCGAAAAATCTCTCCGTTCTCTCGCAAGCCACAGTACTTCCTACTCCTCCTATTCATGCCCCCGGCCCCGAATTGGATACGCTGGTTATTTCAGAACAAAAGTCAGTTTAGATTCGACTGGAGGCCTAACTGGTGGTAATTTGAAGCATTTTGGTTCGCTTTGGGGGGCCAGTAGAGGCAAAAGGTCTGATTTTTTTTATCGAATTGGTCGCCCTTTTGATTGGAGAATCGTCAAGCTCGGCGTGAGAGTTTCTTTGGCCTGTGCTCGCCTGAGAGTAGAAGGCTGTGGTTCTTGCTCGGCAAAATTTGGGCTTATCCTTAAATCGGAAGGCGTGGGCAGCTAAATTCACAAGGAAAGCTTCAGTTACCCACGGAAGAAGGATTTCCCTTCTCTCTCAGAGACTCGGATTGGTGATGGCCCGGCGCTGAATTGCTCTGAAATCTGCCGAAAGCATCGATCTTTGTCTCCGAAAGATCAGGGATTGGGCCCTCGTATCCCCAATTCGCCCCACCTCCAAGACGGCGGTCGGGCTTGTAGATGGGGTCGGGGTCGAGCATCCTCGGTGCGGACGGGGAATGGGGGGTGACGTCCCTTGGAGACATGCCGGAGAGCTGCGTGGCGGCGGTGCTGCTCTACCTTGATCCGCCGGAGATCTGCCAAGTCGCCCGCCTCAACCGCGCCTTCCGCGGCGCTGCCTCCGCAGACTGCGTCTGGGCCGGGAAGCTGCCCGTCAACTACCGGTACCTCCTAGCCTTTGCAGCTGCCGCTGATGACGAAGGTGGTGACGGCGGACACGGTAATGGCAAGCGCAGCTCGCCCAGCAGCAAGAAGGATATTTTCGCGCGCCTATGTCGACCGACTCCATTCGATTTTGGCAACAAGGTAATAGAGCCAATTTGTTCTTTAATTTCTACTAATTAAGATTCAGGTAATAGAGCCAATTTGTTCTTTAATTTCTACTAATTAAGATTCTATGCTGGTTTATTAGAGCCGATTTGCTAATGTGTCATTTATGTATGATGATTAATTTCTTCAATGAGGGTTGCTCTAAAAAAACTGTTCAACGGGGATTGGAGTTGTTGGGGTTTGGGGAATGGAAGACATAATTTGACCATTACTTGTTTAGGTTTGGTGGATTAATATATATATATATTTGGCCTTCTGTTTGCTTGAAATGATCTGTCATGAGTAAAGAACATCCATCTTGTGGTTTATAGGAATTCTGGATTGACAAGAACAAGGGAGGTATTTGCTTGTCTATCTCCTCAAAGGCAATGGTGATTACAGGTATAGATGACCGGAGATACTGGAGCCAACTTGCCACAGAGGAATCAAGGTATTTACCCCTTGGTGGCTTTGATTTTGCATAACTATCGTCTTGTAGGCGAATAATAAATAATTGTTGAAGAAAATATTTGACCTCTGAAAATCTGAGTTGAATTAAGAGTTATTTGGTTATTTGGTTTTACTTCTCTTCCTGATGAGTTAAAATACATCAATTGATTGATTTGCAACCACCCCACTAATACACTATTGTACTAACCGTACAACCTTGAAATTTTGTTAGCTTGTTTCTGGGTATTAGCATATCTAGTAAGTGAAACATGCAGGAGTGGTTAATTCGGGCAGCAATGTTTTGGTGCAGATGAGAATAATTTTCTTTGACCTGAATTCTATGAAATTTATAAGATTACTTAAACCCATTGAACTTCTTAGTTGGGATATATGAGTTCAGTTGTATTAGAGAAATTCTCTCCACTTAACAGGAAAAAAAAATCAAGATTTAGTAGCACATTTCCAAGGTTAATTTACAAGCCCATAATAGTTACTTTCGGATTTGTGCATCAGTAGAGCACAGAAACATTCTGTTACTGTTCTGTCATTTGAGATAGAATGTATCTTGAAACAATTTGTTATGGTTCGTTCGGTGTATGATTCAAATGAATAAATTCTGGATCGAAAAAATAGTATATATGTTTACCTTAAAGCTTGCTTTATTTTTTTTTAATTGTGGTTACATGTTTTCTACACTATCTAACCGTTCTATACATTTTTCTCAACGTGCCCATGTTGCCAAGGACTACCAACTATTCCACTAAGAGCTCTCTAATTTTCTTTCATGTTGTCAGTCACACTGACTTAAGCAATTTGAGATTTAACTTGTGGAACGCCTGATTAAAAGATTTGCTGTAATCTGGTTAGTTCCCTAGTGCTTTCAGTTCTCACTGCTATTTGCAAGTACTGCATAAATTTAGAACATTTCATTATGTGATCACTTCTATTGTTGATAGAGACTTTTATCTTGGTAAATTGGAGATGATTTAGGTCCTTATTCGTATCATGCAGATTCCACCATATTGCCTATCTTCAGCAAATTTGGTGGCTTGAGGTAGATGGAGAGCTTGATTTTTGCTTCCCTGCTGGTTCATACAGCATTTTTTTTCGGCTTCATCTTGGACGACCATACAGGCGCATGGGCCGCCGTATTTGTGGAACTGAACAAGTCCATGGGTGGGAAGCCAAACCCACACGGTTTCAGCTCTCAACTTCAGATGAACAACATGCTACATCAGAATATTATCTAGAACAAGAAGGAAGCTGGATACTTTATCATGTTGGTGATTTTGTTGTACTGAACTCGGACGAGCTTATGAAGCTCAAGTTCTCAATGTTGCAGATTGATTGCACCCATACGAAAGGTGGCTTGTGCGTTGATTCAGTTTTGATATATCCAAAAGGGTATCGGCATGAAAAGGCAAATATAGTGCACATGTAGTGCTGCAGAATGGTTGCAATACTCCAGCAACATGAGACAATTCAGTGGGGTGTGGCTAGCTTTTTCCTGTCCGTTCTTTCCTGAAAGTCCATGTGTATATTTTTTTCCCCTTGAGTTTTACATGATGTAAGGCCTTTTGTATTCTTTTATAGTGTTAGGGTAGGGAAGTAAAGGGCGAGTTTTTTTTTTAAAAAAAAGAACTTAAATTGGCATGATAATTGTTGAGTACAGAGTCCTAGTCGTTTAAAAGTAGGGACAGATGCCATCTTCATATGTAATTTTTCATCAGTGCAATGATGTTTGGCGATCTGGATATTCCTCTTTGCTTATTCCCATGGCTTAAAGCTGATTTTATCTTCTCAACTGTTTGGGTATTCAACAGCTTTCAGGTGAGCAAATGGATGGCAGTAATAAACTTCCAGCATACTAGACCTGTCGCCCGCATATTTTTGCATAGAGCTTAAGCTAATTATTCTTTCGGTTAATGATAACTGCCTTGTATATTGCTGCCCTAGTTCTGAAGATTTTGCTGATCACAGGATGCCAGGATGCATGTATTCTGCACGCTGCATATCGTAGGAATTGCTGTAACATTTTTATCGCATATGATCAGATCCAAAATCCATTGGACTTGGGTCAACAGACAAAATACTGGGTCCTGGAAGTGTTGTGAATCTCAACTGAATTCCTCATTGTTATCTAATCCTTCTGCAACGGGGCAAGGGTCAACGATTGTTTTGGGAACCCATCTCTTGTATCTGAACTGTTCCAGATAATGCATCGTACTGTATTCTATTTAGAGATTCAACTGGGCATTCAAATACTCCGTCGAGAAAGGAAGACGAAGAGATTGTTAACATGGACAGCATGATCGTTAACAAGTCAATCGAAGTCCCATAGAGAGGAGCGCAGGCGCGGCGCATTGCCGCGGCGAAGTCAGCGATGAGAAAATTGGTGGAGGATCCATAACTGGGTTAAGTACTCAAGTGCACAGGGCGAAGCCGTGAAGGGCCGGAATTTATTGGTGTGCGAGAAGCCCAGGAGACCCCGGGCTTTTGTTCTGCAGTGGAATAAGTCCACTGACCATCCCTTAACTTCACAGCAAGTCCGTATGGCATATCCCGCATCCCTAATCCCTAAGACCCTAACACCATAAATCTTGACCCCTTAAGTCTTCAAAACCATACAAAATAGATCCCCAGGCAGTATAGACCATATTTCCCACTACTTTCGCTGACATGGCATATGGCAGGGCCCACTTGTCAGTGTGCCGTTGACGCTGTTACTAGACAAATCGACAGCAAAATTCGGTTTTCGGCGAGCAGAAGGCTGTAGACGCTGGCGGACAACTGGCTCTCCAGTGAGTTACCGAAGTCGTTCGGCCGCCTCACCGAGCTCAGCATCGTCACCTTGTACAACAACTCACTGGAGGGCCCTCTGCCAAAATTGTTGTTCAAGCTCAAGCTAGAACCCGATGGTGATCAATTTCTCCCACAACTGATTCACTGGCGCTGTTGTGCTGCTCCTCGGCTCGAGCTCCCTCTCCGTGCTAGCTCTGACCAACAACAGATTCTCCGATGTCATCCCGGTGGTGCTTGCGTGGTCAAGGTGCATGGTCCGGCTCCAGCTGTCCGGCAAAAGGCTCGCCGGCACGATCCCTGCCGAGCTGGGCAAGCAGACTGAGCTCAAGATACTTGAACTCAACAACTTCTCTGGCGACATTCCGTCAGAGCTCTCCAACTACTCGCGGCTCACCCATCTGAACCTTGACGGAACAGCCTAACCGACGCCGTCCCTCCGTGGCTCGATGACCTTTGGTTGCTCGGCGACCTGGACCTCTCCTCGAACGTGCTCACCGGCGGCATTCCAGTGGAGCTTAGCGATTGCTCTGGCCTGCTCAAGCTGTCCATAAGCGGCTTTGGGATCAGGAGCATCCTGCCGGAGATCGCAAAGCTGGCATCTCTCAACATTCTGAACCTGCAGAAGAATGGCTTCACCGGCGTTATACCATCGGAGCTCCAGCGCTGCAACAGGCTGTACGAGTTGCGGCTGTTGGAGAACTCGCTGGAGGGGCCAATCCCGCCAGAGCTGGGGTAGTTGCCGCTTGCCGGAGCTGCAGGTGGTACTGGACCTCCCTCGGGATCTCTGTGTTGAGCTCGGCGAGGCGGCCGAATGACTCCGGCAACTCGCTAGAGAGGCGGTTGTGCAACCTCCAGCAGTGCAGCCTCCTGCTCGCTGGAAACTGTTTTTTGCTATCGATTTGTCTAACAACAGCACCGACGACACACTGAGAAGTGGGCCCGCTATATGCCACGTCAGCAAAACAAGGGAAATATGGTCTATATTGGCTTTGGTCATTTGCACTGGCTGCAGCAAGCTGGGTATACTGTTACAGCTGCATAAAATGAACTTGCATTAGGGCTGGTTGTAGCAGCTACGCTGTTGCAGCTAGCATTACCAATCAGCGCCACTACCATTGGGCTTACTTTGCATGGTTTTCAAGATTTGAGGGGTCAAGATTTTTGGTATTAGGAATTAGGGATGCCATACAGACTCTGTGTGAAGTTGAGGGATGGTCAGTGAACTTATGCCTTCTGCAGTAGTTTCAGTTCAACCCATCCTCTCGAGTTTTGGGCTTGGGCTGTCCTGCACCCTCGTGGGCCAGAATACAACTCGGACATTCTCCGGATCATTTGCACCCCAACGGTTGGGGTTATTATCAACCAAACTATCATTAAAGCAGGTAAAAATACAACATAAATATACTAAAATACCACATATATATTTTCACAAAGTTCAGAAATTAAAATTTTGGTATGTCATTCCGATACGATGTTGGTGTGCAGGTATATGATTTTTTATTTCTATATGTACCTATTTAAAAAAAATACATAATGCTTATGGTATATTTTTTTTCCTGTTGTCCAGCTTTCCAAGGCTTGGGCCTCGCCAACACCACTTGAGCCGGCACCAACTCGTGATCGTGAGCCCGTCCTCGCTGACTCTCCCGAGTCCCTACGCCCATCGGTTCCTCTGCCATCACTGCCTAGATTTCTCTTCACTACTGCCCGAGCTGCCGCCAACACAGGGCAAGCTTCGACATGGCCATCGCCAAGGGTATCGGTTTTTCACCTCTACTTTCTCCGCTTAGATCGTCTTCACCAAGCTCCTCACGCCTATTAACTTGATGACACCTAATATCAAAAGGTATTTATTGGCTCAAATGAGCCACGGGTCGTCGTTAGGCCGTTGGTGCTCCTATGGCCACCCGTCAGCCTCGTTTATAGGTGGGCTGCCCCTTACACCCCGCCCTGACTCCTCTCCGACATCGTCCGCATCTTTGGCGTCCTCCCCTAACCTCTGCGCTTGAGATGACGTTGTCCAATTGTTGCTACCTATATAAGGATAAGGGGTAGCCTCCTATGCCTCGTGATCCCTCGATAGCTCCGCGGCTCCGTGTGGGCCGCCACCAGCTGCCACCTGTCCTCGAGCGTGTCGTCGTCGTGTACTTGAGATTGGTTGAGGGACATCTGCCCGTCCTGGTATGCTTCACAGCCTTTGTTGCCTCGCTGCTCTCTTGTTGTGCTCTTTACTATGAACATGTGTTTCTGTCAACGGAAAAAAGAGAATAGATTAGGACTTGGTCATGGCCTAGTGTGAAGGACTAGAGGGGAACAGTTGCACTGCTAACTTGGTCTATGTGCCACTGTTGCACTGCTTATGTTGTATCTTTTCCTTTGCTATTACTCTGTTTTTTTTCCTTTTTTTTAAAAAAAAAGAGTTTGGGTTTCGGTATTCTGTATTTCTAAAATTTTCATTTAATAATTTTTAAAAAATATTCATTCGTCACAACACACGTGCCATTTTTCTAGTTAGTGAAAAAAAATATTTGAACATGATTTTAGTGAAGTTATGGATTTGTCATTGTTTTATGACTCTTTGAGCGTGTCTTAGAGGTGAATTTGTGAGTGTCTTGTGTATGTGTAGTAGTGTATACATATGCGTCTTTCATGTAATTGCAAAAAAGAAAGAATATATTTTTTACGCATACTATCATTTGATTTTTGAGCCACTTGATTTAGATTAAACCCTTCATATTCATTCACCTTTTTCATATAAACTACATTACCTCCTCTAACCCTAACCAACCGTCGCCCCATAGCTCCTCGCTGACATCACCACCGCTTGTCAGCGATGACCTCCACTGCACACCCTCCTTCCCACGATCCCACTCTCCCTCTTCGTTCCCCATCGAGGAGGTTGTGATGCCCCGACACCACCATTACTGTGCTAGCCCCTGGTGTGCTCTCGTCTCCATCAACTGTCGTCTCCTAAACGCTTGGGCGTTGGTGCCCTCCCACCTACATCCTCTAGCACTAGCGGTGGCCCTGTACCTGGAGCCTCCATCATTAATTGTCACCTCCTTACCAATCGAGCCTCACAACTCGTAGTCTCCACCGTCAACCGCTCTCCTCTGCCCGGTGGCCCTAGAAGTGCCACTGCCACCTTATTGTTTTCGAGGTCATCACCATGTTCTTGCCACCGTTGGACAGCCGTCGGAGTTGTTGGGAGTCGTCAAAGCTAGAGAAGGAGTCTGCGCATGAACCTTCAAGCTAATCAAACGATTGTTTGCAGCATTGGATGTAAATTCTTTGCAATACTGCTGATGCAGTAGCAGTGGCTGACATGTGGGTCCAGAATCACATGTAAGTGCACTAGCAGTACGACAGACAATCTTCACTGGTTTTATATTGGCTTTCTACGGCAAGCTGGAATAATCTTATCTAATACTACCTCCGTTTTTTTAATAGAATGACGTTATTGACCTTTTGTCATATGTTTGATCATTCGACTGATTAAAAATCCATGTAATTATAATTTTTTTTGTTGTGAGTTGTTTTATCACACAAATTACTTTAGACATTATTTATATAGCTTATATATTTGCATAATTTTTTTAGAAATATGAATGATCAAAAATATGTTCAAAAGTTAATAGTTAATAACGTCATCTATTAAAAATATGGAGTAAAATTAATATGCTTCGTAATCATGTCAACCCATGCATCCGTACTCACACGTACGATCACAAAGGAGAAAATTCCGTTCCAACTTCCAACCTCAGCACAGCACCGGCAAACTTCAAAATATGTACTCCACACGGTTGATGACCTTTAAGACACAGGGAACCACGCTAGGAAAGCAAAAGCGGAGCAAAGCAAAGAAAAAGGGCCGGTAGAAATCACCGTTCACAAGGAGTAATACACACCACTCGATTGTTGTCTCGGGAGGTAAAAAAAAATACTGTCACTATAGTACTACCATGTACCACCACTGCAATTCTGTACCGAGTCCAGGAGTACTTCAGGATGCTGAGCACCGGACTGCATCACTGCGCTGTTTCTTGGGTTAATACTAGTAGTACAGCAGCAGCAGCTGAGCTTTTTAATTTGCCGCACCGCCGGCCGGTGATTGGACGGATGTATTTACTACCCAAAAGAAACGCAATTCAGATCCGTGCAGTATTGCTCACTGACATGTGGGCCCCACAGACCCTTGGGCCCACATGTCAGTGAGCAGCACTGACCCTCGCTCGTCCCGCGAGCTGATGGAGCCTTTGTTGCGCTCGCTACCTTCCGGCCTGAAGGGCTGTAGCATCGTCGTCTCGGCCAGCGAGGAGGGCGGCGCGACATCGCGCTACTCATCACTGCTCCTTCCTGCAGCAGGCGAGGCCCCTGCGACTGCGAGCGAGTCGCGACGACGGACGGAGGGGGCCGCTTCGCACGCGATCTGGTCGTGCGCCGCGCAATAAATCGGTGGGGTGTCCGCAGGCTGGAGGGCGTTTGATGAAAGGCTGCCGCCGGATCCGATCGCTGCCACGCCGGGTCTAACGCTTTCCCTGTTTTGCCTGCCCGTGTCCGTCCGTGCCTCCGTGGTCACCGTGCGTGTTAGTACGCTCGCTAGCTGCCACTGCCAGGTCCGGCAAATGCCGTCCGAGTCCCTGCACAATGGCGAATTTCACGCGTGAACACGTAGGGGTGAAAACGGTAACGGTAATTACCGGCCGACCGGCATTCGTTTTCGACTTTCTACCGGCCGAGCCATATGGAAATGGTAATCGACCGAAACAAAAATGGAAATGGTAAAAAATATGGAAATGAAAACGGAAATGGTTTTGCTGTTATACCGATCGTTTCCGTATTTACCGTATTCTTGCGGAAATTACCGTTTCTTATAATATGGTAATTACCGTATTCTAAATATGTCGATATTATAGGACATGTTTATACTTGACCCACAGCTTATAGATTGAATAACTCTTCAATAAAATCTCTAACTTTTGTACATGGCTAAAATGAAGTTAATTTATAATTTATATAGTATAAGCTTGAATTTATGTATATATATAACATACTTATGTAAAGTTAAATATATGTTTTTATAGTTTAATGTTTCCGTATTTGTTACCGGTTTCCGATCTGTACCGACATGTTTCCGTCCGTATTGTTCCGTTTCCGGTTTTCCGATATCGTTTTCGTTTCCAACTTTACCGTTTCCGATTTCATTTCCGAGAAAAATATGGTTACGGAAATGGTTGAGGCTGTTTTCCGATCGTTTCTGACCGTTTTCATCCCTATGAACACGCAGTGAATCTTTTTATTTGGATCCCAATGCTCAAATAGAGATGGATGGAGTAGTTCGTTTGATCTAACGGCGACAACTGTGGGATCATTACACCTTATTTATGCTTTGCTGCAAAAGGTACAAAGAGAACGGCTTATTAAGACGTCCTTTCTGTATGTTAAATGTTGAAAGCTACTCCCTCTGTCCCAGTATAGTGGACGTTTATTTGAAAAATTAGTGCAAATATAAAAAAAAGATAAGTTATATGTAAAGTACTTTTAATAATAAAGCAATTGACAAGCAAAATAAATAATAATTTCAAAATTTTTTAAATAAAATTTTTTAAATAAGACGAATGATCAACAAATATAAACAAAAACTCAAAAAATAATAATATGGGACGGAGGTAGAAGTAGCTACGAGTGCTTCGGTACAACGTATGGGGGAGATTCCGGTCTTGATAGGGATTGATAAACACGTTTCCTTCGATATCCCCGATGCACCAACCTGGATAGTTTGTGTCTAATGAAGAGTGTCTGTGTATGTTGCGTATACTGTAGAGGGTTGTGCACTAGTGCTAGCTACATTCCCAGAAAACGTACACGCCGGTATTCCCAGAAAAAAAGAAATGCTCTACTAACTCGTTGACCGATTACTATGAATGAACTCGGTTTACATTTTTTGGTAGGGAAGAAATCTCTGTATGGACCTGATTTTAATAATGATACATCCAAACTAAAATCACCAAAAATGCGTGATTTTGGGAGTATATGGGAGAATATTCTTAAGCTTAGTATTAGATTCCTCGCTTTTTTGATTGCTAGAGACACAAACCATAGAAGGATATGTAAGAATATACACTGACATATGCGGCCTGACTACAGCGTGATATCCAGCAAAAGCATATAAGACAACTACGGATGGTTGGAAATTCCGTGGAGCTTACTTGCCGTATATAAGATTAAAGACCAGTTTTATAAAGGTCATGTATGGAGTTTACTATTCTCCTGATTATTACAAAATTTATATTGTTAGTACGAGATTAAGCCAAATCCACACTCAAGAATTAGCGTAGATTACTATGGAATATTGGATAAGATATTCTCACTGACATCGGCAGAGTTTTTCTTTTTTTTTTTTTTTAAAAAAAGTCAAAGCATCGTGCGGTCCTGCATATCTATGGGCTTCTTCCAAATTCAAGGATTTTATAGAATTGTTTTAAAAAGCGCTTACCTTTTCAAGTAACGGAGAAAAAAACATGCCATGATCCGGAGGTGTAACAGTTTCTACACTGCTAATTCAGGAAATCGTCACATGAAAAAAGCAATTCAGGAAATCGTCAGGGCCTTGTGTACAAAACTACCACACCTAGATTAGATTTGCACGGCATCACATGTAGTGCACGCGACTCGCATCGCAAAAAAATTTGGGAGACCACCCACAAATCGCTCGTCGGCGAGCGAATCCAAACCAAATCCTTGTTCTAGTCTTGTATCACCCGCATCTGCGCGTCCCTCTGCGGCGGCGGCGGCGGCGACGGCGGCGATGGGGCTGGAGATGGAGGGGATGGCGGCGGCGATCGGCGTGTCGGTGCCCGTGCTCCGCTTCCTGCTCTGCTTCGCGGCCACCATCCCGACGGGCCTCATGTGGCGGGCGGTGCCCGGCGCCGCGGGGCGGCACCTCTACGCGGGGCTCACCGGCGCCGCGCTTTCCTACCTCTCGTTCGGGGCCACATCCAACCTCCTCTTCGTCGTGCCCATGGCGTTCGGGTACCTCGCCATGCTCCTCTGCCGCCGGCTCGCGGGGCTCGTCACCTTCCTCGGCGCCTTCGGCTTCCTCATCGCATGGTGATGAAACTCTCCCCCCCTTCCATCCGCTTGTCTCCAGGGTTTGCATACTGCTATTGGGTGATTAGGATCGAAGAAGCCGTAGCTGCATGCCTAATTTGGGGTTGACACACGAGTAGGACGAGTAGAAAGAGAAGGCTAGGGCAGTTTATTTACAAACCAGAGGAATTTTTGAACGGAGGGGTATGTGGTGATGTGGCGGTGCCAGATTTCATATTCGAGCCGACTCAAACGATTTTGACTTTTTATTACTGGTACTCATGTGGTCCTACGTAACATAAGATTTTTACCGTGGGAACAGGGTCTTCTATTGAACTCCGCGTCGATTCGCTTGTATGCCTGCAAACTTCGAATTGGTGATCCTGTGAAGTTTGGAATGAATAGGTTAATCATTTGCTTTTCTAGTCCTGTTAACTGCAAAAATATAGGAGTGATGGACTTGCAATAAAAGCTCATTACTACTGCTTGGATTGCATAGTCCACTTATATTTTTATCCGTAGTTTGGTGGCAACCCTTTGTGATGTTTTATTGAAATAACATAGTAATGCATGCTAATGTGAAAAACACATGGTCAAATATGAAATTTTGGTTACTGAACGTAAATGCAAGGTAGAGATACTCTAGGCTGAGATTACTATATCGGAACATTCTGAAGCTCCATATGCAGTCCAAAACAGATTTTATAGACCTGCTGTTTTTATGCCATCTTTCTCTGGTTTCTGCCGTATCTGGCTTCAGAACAGTTCAGGAAAGGCCCTTGCATTTACAGTTTATTTTGCAGAAATCTCATTTTATTTTCTTGGAGTATTAGTTCCCTGTGTTCAATTGCATGAGGATTGCCACTCTCCAATAGCGGCAATTGATGATTTTCCACTCATGTCTATGACACGTGGGACAAGGCCCACATGCAGTAGTCTATATGTGGAAAGTCGTCAAATGGCCTATGGAGAACGATAAATCGTCAGTTTTCCTGATAGGTGTTATGTCCATTAAGTGCTGATGTAAATATTTCCTGGAATTCACTAATTCATGTACATGCTTATTCATCCATTTGTTACTCGCTTAATATTTGCACCTACGCACTGATGAACAGAAGAAAAGGGATAGCTTTTCATCTATACTAGTTTGGGGGTTTTTTCGTCGTCTTACCCTTCTTAGTGATCCACCGCAGTTTATATTTATGTGTATGAGGTGGAGGTTGGTAAGATAAAATTAGGATATCGGCCTGCTATCAATTCTTAAATAGCACATCGTTAGTCTCCCAAGGATTTCTGCATTACACTAAAATATGGTTCAAGAATCGAAATCAGCAATCACGCAAGAGATCTTTTACTGGTGTTGCATCTAGTGTCCTACGATGTTCAAGCTAGGGTTATTGTGAATCTGCAAGGAATATTGATTTTGTTTTACTTGGTGTCATGAGAGATGGGATTCTGCAGGGTGAAGCAACAAGATAAATCACTGCAAAACAGAAAAGTGATGTGCAAAATAGTTGACAATGACAGCTGACAGGAGTGGTTCCCAAATATCCCCAAGCGTTAAGATGATAATGGTGCTGTTTGATTCACCTTAAATTATTTTGTTCAGTTGATTGTAACTGAGTATGTCAACTAAAAGAAATGAAGGGATTTAGTTTATTCTTGAAGGAAACAATCAAACTTGGAACTGGTGATGTTTTATTTGCTGAATGGCCTATTGATAGATTGGCAATCTGAGTATCTAAACCCACTCCAGTGACTATGCAGATATAGGTGTTTTCCTATTACAATCTCATTAGTATTAGTGTTTCCTATATCTCTAAAGAAATTCATCCTAAACTGCTGCAAGTATCTAGTAGGGTCTGCCGATTTGGAATTTCAAAATGAGATTGTGTCATTCCCTGCATAAGCAGTGTGAATCAGAAGCAATGATGTTATTCTAATTTCACGTAGAGAGTAATCATGTCTTCTGCTCCCTTTATCTCGTAGAGAGTGCCTGTCGATTTGGATTTGGAAATCCTAAGTTTACCATTCTAATTTCACTCCCATTTATGTTCATGCCTTCTGCTCCCTTTCTCTGGTCCGCTGATTCGAAATTTCAAAATGAGGTCAGGCATCCTAGATAAGCAGTGTGAATCAGAAGCAATGATGCTATTGTAATTTCACTCCCATTTATGTCAGGCTTCTCCCTTTATCTCATAGAGAGTACCTGCCAATTTGGAAATCCTAACGTTTACTAAGTTACCTTTTTATAAATGTGCTCCAATATTAATGGGCTGAGTTCTGTAGTAAGTTTTGCATTATTCTCAAATCCTGTTTTCTTGCCAAAAGATAAAACAATATGGCAGGCTGTGATGCCATGTTGCAACTAGTACCTAAGATGATGCCCGCTTTCCATTCTTATGCCATTGCATGCGTCAAACTAAGCATCTAACAGAGATTACCAAGAACCTGATTGAGACCTTAATTGGAAAAAAAAACTGTTATTTTCCTTCATTCAATATTCTGATCAGCAGTCTCTGTCATCAAGATAAGGGAGAAATATCAAACATTCCACAATCAGATTGGATGCTGTAAACTGAAGTATGCTTATTTCGAATTCTTAATACATAACTGATTTCTATTTCTAGAAACCATAATTTCTCTGTTGGCGGGATCCTGATACCGTGTCCTCTGTCCGCACTCCGCACCCTAGTTTCTTGACTTCTTTCTGGTACAGTGGTACTAATGCCATTTTTTTGGTGGAACATGGAGCACTATGATGGAAAGAAACTACTGTCAGAATTGGGCAAAAACAAAATCTAGCTAACATATTAGATGACATATCCACGCAATATCAAGAAGATCAGCCACCAACAGGCGATCATCATAGTCCTAAATATTGTCGTGTTTCCACTTTACGCCAACTTTGAAGTTAGCTAACTCATCATCTGAACATATATGTATTTTTATATTAACTATTGTCCTGGCGTTGTTTACTCACATAAAAGGGTAAACTATAATATATTGTCGTCTAGCGCTTTATTTTTCTAGTGTGCTGTTCGCTATTATTTCCTTTATCTTCCGTAAAAAGGTATTCCCTTGTGCATATGCAAATTTTGAAAAGCAAACTGTTAGGGAACAAAAATGTCTTTTGGATCTGGATGGGGCTTCTTTTACAGACTGGTTTAAACTTAATCCAATTTATTATTAAAAGTGTGTTGTGGACTGGAATGTGGCTGGTTGGACACCTGAAGTGTGTGTTTGTAACAAGTGATTTTACAGTCCTTGAGTAGGTACTGATAGGTACCCCATTTTATAGTGTAAAATTTGGTACCTCTTGATACCTCCAGTACTAGAAGGTATGAAAATTTGCACTAAAAATTTTAGTGCCTCTTGCCTCTTGGTACCTCTCAAGGGCTGTCAAATTTCTCATGTAACAAATCTTTTTACCTTTAACTCAATATAAAATTTGGTGGGCTATCCTTTGCCAGCTCCTTGTCTTTTCAAGTGCTATGGACCCATTCTAAGTAGTAGGTCAAACTGAGTCCACACCATTAAGACTAGGGAAACATTTGATTGTTAGGAATTATAGTTGCGGTATTAATGTATTCAAATTTAGTCATGATTTTTGTCTTGGAGATGCATGGAAGGAATAATAAGCAAATGCAGAGATCCTAACAGGTTTTCATCCTCTTATACAGTCACATGTACTACATGAGTGGAGATGCATGGAAGGAGGGTGGCATTGATGCAACAGGTATAATATAGTGCTCTATTGTTTCTCATACATATTTCATATAGTTAAACTATATTCATTGGTTAATTTTCTACATCATTTCGTTCTTTTTCTTCGGGGAAGTTTTTAGACCATATCTGATTTACATATTTGAAATAAGCATAGAAAATAAGACATGTATTGTTTTCAGATCCCTAGTATTACCTTATGGAATTTTACTCATCTGTTTTTGCTGCCCTGCTTCCTTGTAATTAAACACTGTTCCACGAGGATACGGTTCCTCTTTTCTAGTAAGAACTAGACCTTCCTTTTGAGGGTTTAGCTATAAAGGCAACAAATTTCATAATAACTTAACTTTTGAGGCTACATTTTGTCCATTCAGGTTAAAACATCAAACTTTAGGTTTTCTGGAGAAGGTTTTATTTGTGTCACCCCTAAGAAAAACATTGTGCTCTGTTTCAAGTGTCTTTCTGGAATTGATTTTTTTCTTTTTGCAATGCAGGTGCTTTAATGGTTTTAACATTGAAAATCATTTCATGTGCAATAAACTACAGTGACGGTATGTTGAAGGAAGAGGGTTTGCGTGATGCCCAGAAAAAGTATCGTTTGGCTAAACTTCCTTCTTTGATCGAATATTTTGGCTACTGCCTCTGCTGTGGCAGCCATTTTGCTGGGCCAGTATATGAGATGAAAGATTATCTTGAATATACTGAACGGAAAGGAGTAAGTGGCTTTTGTCTGCTTTGTGTGGATGATGTTATGTTTTGTTTATTACTGATATTTTCTTGTCTAAAACAGTTATGGGCCAGCCCAACTCCTTCACCACTATTGCCTACTTTGCGTGCTCTAGTTCAAGCTGGCGCATGTATGGGGTTATATTTGTATCTATCACCTCAATTTCCACTTTCACGGTTTAGCGAGCCCTTATATTATGAGTGGGGTTTCTGGCACCGGCTCTTCTATCAGTACATGTCAGGCTTTACTGCTCGTTGGAAATACTACTTTATATGGTCACTTTCAGAAGCTGCAATCATTATATCTGGTCTGGGTTTTAGCGGCTGGTCTGATTCATCTCCCCCGAAAGCCAAATGGGATCGTGCAAAAAATGTTGATGTTTTAGGTGTCGAATTAGCTACAAGTGCAGTTCAGTTGCCGCTTATGTGGAACATTCAAGTGAGCACATGGCTGCGATACTGTAAGTTCTGCATCCTGATGAAATCCATCATATCGTCAATATTTTTTTTAATTTTCTTTGTTGGATGATAGAATGTTTTTTTATTGAGTTTACCATGTCGGTATGGAAAGTGCTGTTGTGCTTTCCCAAAATGGATAGCACGATTTTAAAGCTTACTGAAGATCTGATCGGCAATGACCTATTATGATCCATAATTCCACATCACTTCTACATTATGTGCAATTCAGTTTGCAGAAGAGCATAGAAACAATACTCTATTAATATGTAGTCTTGTTATAAGTTAATTTACAGTTTAAGTGGGAGAAGTCTAAACTTCTAATATATGTGTTTGACCCTTGAAATTAACTAGTTGAGTAAGGAAAGTCCATCCACTTGAATTTTATTTTGTGTAAAATCTGGGTATGCACTAAACAGTTTGCCTTCTTTTAAACTGGATACCATTCGTTCAAGATTACTAATAAATATGAATTTTGAAAGCCTGAGCCGATGATATTCAATTTGAATACTATTAGTTCCATAACACTGATTCAACTATTTCAATTCCACTGTTATTTCAGATGTTTATGAGAGGTTAGTTCAGAAAGGAAAGAAACCTGGTTTCCTCCAGTTGCTGGGTACACAGACAGTCAGTGCTGTCTGGCATGTAAGTTTTATTTTTCATGAAGATTATATTTTGACTTTACTTTTTTGTACTTCTTATCATCTATAGAATAGCGCCCTGAACATAATTCCATCAATACTTGCTATATGAAATTAGAATGCTGTATATTTAGAGCTTCTATTGTCCTAGTGCCCTAGTACCCATCTTTCCAAGTAGAGGCAACACAAGTAAATTGTAAAATGTCCTTTTCACTTCTGACATATTCTGATACTGTATTAAAAACTTGTTTTCTGACACTTTTCTCATACCAAGGATTAGGTAGTGCTTAATATTTTTCTAACTTCATCTCACATGAACATGTTGAGGCCTGGTTTAGTTCCCAACTTTTTCTTCAAACTTCCAACTTTTCCATCACATCAAAACTTTCCTACACACACAAACTTCCAACTTTTCCGTCACATTGTTCCGATTTCAATCAAACTTCCAATTTTGGCGTGAACTAAACACACCCTGAGTGATCTGATTGTTTCTGTTTTACAGGGTCTTTATCCCGGATATATCATATTCTTTGTTCAATCAGCATTGATGATAAATGGTTCAAAAGGTAGCTCTCCCTCTCTAATTTCAGCCGCTCTAATTTCCTGAGATGTACTCTATTAGTTAGAATTATGAAGTTGTAGTTGATCTGACATTTTCCTCAATGCAGTCATATACAGATGGCAACAAGCAGTCAGCAATCCAGTCTTCCACGCTATCCTGGTTTTTGTAAATTTTTCATACACCTTGATGGTCCTTAACTACTCATGTATTGGGTTCCAGGTGAGATTGAGCTTCTGAATCTTGTTTTACTTTATAGCAACTGAAAAAAAAAAGACTTGTCAGAGTGTTTGTTGAAATGAATCCTGAATGAAAATGTTGCATTTGCATACACACACAAGAAAAAAAGGTAGATACCATTGTTTTGATCCGTGCCTTTCATGACTAGTATATACATGTGGTTTTTGTAGTAACATTTTTAGTTTTTACTTTATCACCATCTTAAGAAAAGAGCATTGAAGCCTGAATGGTTCTTTAACTAAGTTTAAACAATCGTGCCACTTTAGTGATTTTAGTACCATGAAGTTATGAGGTTATGTAAGAGGGCAGCTTAAACTCACCAAGCACACCCGAAGAAAATACACTACTGTAGTTGCTGTCCTATTTTATTAATAAGAAAATACCGTGGGTTGAGTTTTGTGTCTCTTGACAGTAGTTCTAGTATTACCCTGTAATGTGAAAAGATGCCTTTCCTCTATTGTTTTGTGTATAGTTTGTATTTACCATGCTGTATACTCTTCGTTTCCTCCAGGTACTGAGCTTCAAGGAAACCCTAGCATCCTACCAGAGCGTATATTATATCGGCACAATTGTTCCCATTGTAGTTGTCTTGCTGGGTTATGTTATCAAGCCAGCCAGGCCAGTGAAGCCAAAGGCTCGGAAGGCAGAATGAGCAACAAGTTGACCTGGTCAAGTGGTCATTACATATAGGAGCGACGAAGAACATTTAATGACGATAATGACGAACTAGTGTCCAGCTATTCTACTGTGGAATTTCGCAGGAGAATGTGATGACTCACCTCTTAAAGTTCTGAACTCCCTTGTGATTGATCAAACATTAAAACGTGGCACTCCCGTTGGATTTTTCTTCTATGTTATGACTACTACTACAACTACATAGGATATCGGCCTTGCGCCTTCGGTTGTTGAGTTCTCTTCTGACCGACTGTCATTCAAAGCGATGTATTTTTTATCACCTTCCCTGGCCTGGAGCCAAATGGAGGTGTGAATGGGCATCATTTCTTGGTTCACATCCAATGTGTCCTTACCAACTGAGCTCCAACAACACTAGCAGTTTAGCGCCCATGTTTTGACTCATGGCTTACTTTGAACACAATTTTGGTGCCATGATAGCTAAACTCGTGGCCACCGAGTAGCCATATGGCGGTCATAGACTACTTACTGAATCCGGCGCCCTCTGCTGGTCATTTTGGTCTTATAAATGGTGCTACGGAAGTGCAAACCTGTGGGTGGTCTGGTCCAAACTAATACTCCTACTACTATGCCGCGTCGCAGAGGTGGTAGGTTTGGTGCTGGCTGGTGGCTGCGTCGTGTTTGGGTCCCAGGATTCGGCAACCTGAAAATGCCAGCCGTGGTGGTCTGCTCTGTCACCCCAGGGCGGCCAGAAAGGGCAGCGTAGTGTGCTACAGTGCTATGCAGGGAAAAGGCGACGCCAGTGACACGACGTAACGTGGCGTTGATCAGGTCATGACCAATGACCGATGGCGTCCAGATTCCTGGTTGCAAAAACTGCAATATACAACGAGTCATGCTGCACTATCTCTAGTGCAATGCAATGCGGCGCATGCTGCGTATACGTGCGAAAGACAATCTCCTGGCATCTTTTCCCAGAGAAATGGACGGTCTAATAGTCCGGACCGGCAGCCGCTTTTTCAAACAATAACGCAAAAAGTTCTCTAGAAATTCATGGAGCTAATCGCCACTATACAATTCCCGAGACAAATCACCTTCGCTAGCTACGGTTTCTAGACAGCATTTGTCTCTCCCATATCGCTTTGATCGCGGTGCGTGCAAAACTGCAAATTGCAATCCGCGTCCATGAATTCAACGTTTGCGACACCGGCTGGGCTACGGGAAGAAGACTCGATCGACCGCCTAAAAATCCGGTCGTTTTCAACTGTCTCATCTTTGTTGTGCCGGCGCCGCAAGAGCTGCACGGTTTCGCCACCGTCTTCGCGCACCTGGCCGTGTCTCACACGGCCGGGCCGGGGTGGCACACACGCACCGCACGCGTCCTTGCCGTATTCCACCCGGCTAATAACCGCAGCAGCATGGGCGTATTACCAGTTTACCACCACCAGCAGCAGCAGCGACCGTGCACGCAGGCAGAGCGCAATGCAGCGCGACGCTAGCTGGCGCGCGCTCCACCATCGCCCAATCGCCCATGCCCTGGAGGCCTGGAAGCGTACGTCGTGCGGTGCAGCCTTGCCGGCCTGGTTAATTCTGCAGCGGCATGCAGGCCACAGTTTTGCTAGTATAAAAAAAGAAAGGAGAAAAAAAAACTGGCCGGCATGGCATGGCTTGGCGTTGGTGGGTGGGGGATATATTGACGGGACAGCGGACCACCTGAGATTCGCAACGAGCGTGTCGTCGATCGATCGGCCGGTGGAGTTTTGTGGATTCCGTGCCCAATCTTTTGTCAAAAACGGCCACTTTGCCTCTACAGTTACCTGCACTGCCGCCGGCCGGCTACCTATAGCTTGGGGGTACCACTCTAGCTACCCAGCTTTGCCAAGCACAAATTAACACACACACAGCTCTGCTCGTTCCTGACACCCTGCATGACACCACCGCGTGCTCCCCACAGACTCAGCAACACGGGAGCCAAAGGGGAAATCACCTCAGACAGGCTCAGGCTCAAGGCAAGGCCGGGCCGCAGGAGGGGTGGCCATCACGCACACTCATCACATCACCTGCGTACTTACTCGCGGCACGTGCCTAGCCCCCCCTCTCTCTGATCCACCAATCGAACAGGCGCGTCGTCGTTGGCCCCGAGCGACGCTGCACACATGTACAGTTCCACCTGAACGTGTACGTCAGGTGCAGGCGCGTGCGCCACCACGTACGTACTCCGGCCACTAGCTGATCACTCCGCGCGTGCCACCGCTCGGCCGGACGGCTCAGCAGAGGCGCTCGCTTTGCTCTTGCTTGCCCGATAGATCGCTCGCTCTTCTTTTGCGCCAAATGCGTTGCACATCTTGCATTGCATTGCATGCATGTATCGCAGTCTCGCAGAGCTGATCAAGCCCCAGCCCCTACCTATAAAACACTGGCACGGTTACGTACGCTGGGGTCGCCTTGTCGTCGCCCTCCTGGGTCCAGATTCCTCGCCCGTTTGGGTCGTCTCACGCTGGATCGATCCGGCCGTGTCAGGGATCATAGTCTCAGAGATCTGAGTGTTAGTTTATCAGTAGATCATGCATGCATCAGCCTGTGTACTAGACTGTAGACATGTCTAGCTATGTTCAGTAAGTTTTGACCACGACCCCTGTTCTTTTACGGAGCTGTATATAGCTAGCTAGCTAGCTACACAAACGGCGAGCGATATTTTTCTAATTTCCTACAGCAACAGGATAGTGGATACATATATCGACATCGATGTAATCCTTGGTGTATTCTACCCCTGGACGACGGTTAGCAATTCCCTAAATTAATTAACCATCACATTCACGTGTAAATTAAAACGGCCACATAATAATTCACAAAGTCCACGGACCTCCATATATATATGTCGCCACTCGCCACGTGTGCTAAGAGTCACCTGATAAATAAATAAATTGCCATTGCAAAACTTACTTTGGCCGGCCGCAGGCTGCAGCTGGTTTCATCTGATTACTAGTTCAGATAACGAAAGCGAAATCCACAACGGCGACATATGAAAGGAACCCCGGGCCATATCGGTGTGTGTGGTGCGTGCATTTGCATCGTTTTACATGATGCAAGCGTTTTAATTCATTAAAATGTGATTCGCGCGAGCGCGCGCGAGCTGTCCATCTGCCAAATGTTCATATGCATATGGCTTCGAGGTTTTCGGTCATCTATTCGTACAGTAATTGGATAGAGTTGGTAGAGCTAGCTGACGTACGTGTCAGATCAGAGGAAATGTAGCTGACACCGGTGGCTGATCGTGGTAGCATCGGTAGTGTAGTGTACGTACGTATCGCCGGCCCAGTTGTATTCTACTACCTCCGTCTCAAAATGTAGTTATTTCTAGCATAGTACTTTGTCCTAAAATGAAGCTATTTTTTACCTACCTTCTCCTCTCAACCAATCACAACCATTCTTTTTCACATACTTTCTCTTTTCAACCAATCACACACCTTTTTCAACCATTCTCACCTACTTTCTTAATACCCGTGCCAACTTCAAAAATGCTTACATTTTAGAACGGAGGAAGTAGAAAATAATACGGTCCTTTGGAATTAATGTAGGAAACCCAAAGCACAGAAATCGAGTTGCATGGTTTCTAAAAAAATAGTAATACGGAAAAGAAAGTTTAAAAAATTAAGAGGTTTTTATCCACTCAAAAATGATTTTATTTGTAGGTTTTAGGCTTTCCTTTTCACAGGTGGCATAAATTTTCATCCACATGTGAAGATGGCTGAGGCCGTCTCAAGGTCACAGATCAGCTCTGAGATGTGTCCTTAAGAAATGGATAATTGAACCTACATCTAAAGAGTTCTATTAGGTTTTGAGCTAGGCGGTAGGTGTCTACTCTATCTATATATGTTCAGATTCGTAATATTAGAATATGTCACATCCGATTCTAGATTTACTTTTTATAGAACGGAGGGAGTATTTCCAAACCTTAATCCCATACATGCCTTCTCATCCCAATTCTTAATTTTCAGCTGAATGGATTATGTAATTTTGTGATAATAATTGAGAGTATAAATGAATGGATTAATATTTATAAAGTAAAAGTTGTTTAAAAATATTTTTAAAAACTATATATATTTTTAAATTTAATATAAATCGTACTGTTTAGAAGTTTGAAAAATATGTTGATGATAATTCAGAATACGTAAGAGGAAATTAAAGAACGTATCATATATATCTATAGTCACCTGCGGTCGTGCGAACCTTGCTGGCACCCAAATTAATACCCAATGCTGTACCCAAATTTAAGCTCCCGAGAGAAGATTCAATTCAAATCCTACACAAGATCGAGAGGAGAGGTCAAAAGGAAATTTGCAAGGGGCCTGCACACATTACCAATTTCCTAGTACATATTATAGTATTAATACACAACTCCATCACCCGGCCGCGACAACAAAATTTCGGCCGCATGCATGCGAATGCAAACACCGGAGGCGCCAAAAGAGAGGCGCTTTCACTGGTGCAAATGGCATTTGCGGCATATGCATGCATGCATGCACAACCTGTGCGTCGTCCGCATCGCTGCAGGCCAAACACAGCCTTGTTAACGCCCGCCCAACTTTAACCAGCGTATAGGTATCGACAAAGCCCTATGCACCGCCAAGAAATATACAGGGACAAGTGCTCCCAAAACTCCAAAAGTTCGGTGTACTCAACTGCTCCTCCATACATGGATACTATCCCCAATCTGATAGATTATGACGGAGGCAATCATCAAATTGAAGGTTATGCATGTAAAGCTTAGCAGCTAGCATTGTGCTGCGCTCTCGTTTAACTAAGCTGGCCGGGGTAGATGCTGTTGAAGATACTCTAGCATATGTAGGCATGAGCCACGCATCTAGCTACCCAAACTCAACGTGAGTATTTGTCTGGACTCGTTCTGGACAATCAAGAGCTTTGGACGGCTTGAATTGCACCGTCGTCCATTGTATGCACTCACTGTTTACTTAGTACTCTCCTTGTTCTATAATAAACCAATCTAAATTCGAATTTGTTTGTTTAAATTTGTTGTATTAAATAATATTTCATTATATTTCAGGCATGTTTATTTTGAGATCATTTTATCCAGATTCGTTATATTATACTCCCTTCTATTCTAAATTGATCATCATATATATTTATGCACTAAGACCAAGGATAATTTAAATCGCATCAATCAAGACACCGTACACACATTCTCCTACATGCATCGATTAAAACATCATCCAATTACACCCTAGCATGCACACATTCTTCCATGCTGTATTAATTATATTACGATGAAATCCGCAA